TACATGCATACAATGGAATATTATTCACCCTCTGAAAGGAAGAAAATTCTGACGCATGCTACAACATGGATGAACCTTGAGGACATTAAGTGAAATAAGCCAAACACAAAAGAACAAACAAATACTATATGATTCCACTTACATGAAGTACCTAGAGTAGTTAAATTCATGGAGACAGACAGTAGAGGGGTAGTTGCTGGGGGCTATAGGAGGGAAAATGGGGAGTTAGCGGTTAATGAGTACGGAGTTTCAGTTGGGGAAGATAAAAAAGTTCTGGAGATGGATGGTGGATGGTTGCATAACAATGTAAATGTCCTTAATACTACTGAACAGCACTAAAAATGATTAAAATGGTAAATTTTATGTTACGTATATTTTACTACAATAAAAAAAGAAGAGGGAATATTTAAGTGAAGGACTGGATAATTAGGAGTGGAAAAAAATAAAAATTAGTGATAAGGCTTTTAATAGAGAGTAAATGAATATAGTACTATAACATGTATATTTTCAACATACTTCCGTGATCTAGATTTTTCACATCCAACAATCCTAATACCTTATTAAATACACTATCATGAGGAGGTAGTGGTCACGGAGAAGGTTTTGGGGGTCAAGAAAGCTTCCTCAAAATGCAAATCAAAACAACACTAAGATATCACCTCACGCCCATTAAAATGGCTATAATCACCAAGACAAAAAACAACAAATGTTGGAGAGGATGTGGAGAAACAGGAACCCTCATACACAGCTGGTGGGAATGCAAACTGGTGCAGCCTCTTGGAAAAAAGGTATGGAGATTCCTCAAAGAATTAAAAATGGAGATGCCCTATGATCCAGCCATCCCACTACTGGGAATCTATCCAACGAACCTGAAATCAACAATCCAAAGAGGCTTATGCATCCCTACGTTCATTGCAACATTATTCACCATAGCCAAGAAGTGGAAGCAACCTAAGTGTCCCTCGACTGATGATTGGATCAAGAAGATGTGGTATATATATACAATGGAATACTACTCAGCCATAAAAAAAGACAAAATTGTCCCATTTGCAACAACATGGATGGGCCTGGAGGGTATGATCACTTCTATGTTAAGCGAAATAAACCAGAAAGAGAAAGACAAACACTATGATCTCACTCATATGTGGCATATAAACCAACACATGGACAGAGAAAACTGTATTGTGGTTACCAGGGGCAATGGGGGTAGGGGGTGGGCACAAGGGGTGAAGGGAGACATACTTATGGTGATGGACAAACAAAAATGTACAACCCAAAATTTCATAATGTTATAAACTATTAAAACATCAATAAAAAAATAAAAATTAAAAAGAAAAAAAAAGAAAGCTTCCTCAAATCACCCTGCTACATGGGGGAGGAAGGCTAACAATTAAGGGAAACCTACCCCCTTCCCCAGGAACTCTATCTTGAGAGGAGGTTGTTAACAATCCCTATTCACGGATGAGGCCAGCAGAGGTTGGTGTTGCTCAAGGGCACATGACATGTAAGCTCTGAAAGGGAAAGATATACTCTACTTAATTTTTACTTTTAGTGTTTGGTATATGGAAGGTGCTTGGTGAATAATTATTAAGTGAATAAAGAAATACAATATGAACCCAGATGAATCTAACTTCAAATTCCGTGCTCCTTCGAGAATCTACACTGTCATTGTTAGGTGCCATACAACTGAATTTGGGGCTGGACATTTGCCTCTATACTGAGTTAGAATTCCTTTTTTTTCAATTTTTATTGAGGTCACATTGGTTTATAACATTGTGTAAATTTCAGGTGTACATCACTATATTTCGGCTTTTGTATAGACTGCATCGTGTTCACCACCAGAAGTCTGGTTTCTATCTGTCATTGTACACACGTGCCTTTTTACCCCTTTTGCACTCCCCTCGCCCACCTTCTACTCCAGTAACCGCTAATCTGTTCTCCATATCCACGTGTTCGCTTGTTTGTCTTCTACATATGAGTGAAATTATCTGGTATTTGTTTTTCTCTATCTGACTTATTTTGCTTAGCATAATACCCTCAAGGTCCATCCATGTTGTTGCAAATGGCATGATTTCATCTTTTTTTATGGCTGAGTAGTGTTCTATGGTATGTGTACATACCACATCTTCTTTATCTATTCGTCAGTTGATGGGCACTTGGGTTGCTTCCACGTCTTGCTTGCTGTGGGTGCGCGGAGGTGTACATATCTTTTCAAATTAGTGTTTTCGTGTTCTTTGGATAAATACCCAGAAGTGGAATAGCTGGATCATATAGTGTTTCTATTTTTAATTTTTTGAGGAATCTCCATCCTCTTTTCCATAGTGGCTGCACCAGTTTGCATTCCCACCAGCAGTGTATGAGGGTTCCCTTTCTGAGTTGGAATTCTTTATGCCAAGTCCTGGTTGAAGCCTCACAGAGAGACTCTTAGGTTATCTTAGATTTCATTCTCTGAGAGAACCAGAATGCCGACAAGACCCCAGGACTTCTAATTTTCTGTATTTCCCACTCCATTTCCTCTTGTTTTACCCCTTCCTTTTTTCGATGAGAATTTTGTTTTAATTCCAAAGTTTTGGGAGCAAAAATCACTTAATCTGTGAAACATCAAATCTTTTGGGAAATAGCTGGGTGATTAATGCCACCTCTCCTCTCCACCTCCCGCCCCCCATGCAGCAAATAACTGAAGGTGTAGGAGTTTGGGAACAGGTTTAGGCCACGAATATGTTGTTTTAGAAATTTAGGTTTGGTGTCTCTCTTATTTTGGATTTTTTACAGCTGAAATGAAAGGCACACTGTTTCTTTAGGTCTTAAATCCTTTCAAAGTATAATGAAATGATCACTTTAATATTCCTGTGAACAAAGCCGTCGTTTAAAAAACACTTGGATTTTATACCACATACAGCATATTTCCAAAATTTCATTTTCTTTTTTGGCAAGTTTATTAGCAAGTTCTCTCTCTCTCTTCTCTTTCTCTCTCTCTCTTTTTTTCTATTGACCCTTGCCAAATCCCTACTTCCATTCTTATCTCTTACAAGAGTTCATTTAAATCTAATCTGAATGAATTAAAAAAGGTATCTGCAAAGAAGAAAAACTAATTTTAGGAAAAGTTTAAACCATAAAACAACAATTTCATTGTATTCAAGTATTCAATCCATATATATTTTATGTGCATATATATGTATGTTCCATAAATAATTATTAACATTATAACACTCAGGTCAGAAGCCTGAGTGATACAAGCTAAACCATCCTTTTATTATACTATCTCTGTGAAGGGTCATCCTTTTCTTTTAAACAAGAACCCCAGCTCCTTTTCTTCTAAATACTGCCAATAATATCTCACTCTGGCATTTGCAGTATCACTCCTGAGGTCACCTCATGCTGCTGCACAGGTTGTGCACTGAACAACCCTAGAAGAGACCTTTTACTTAACATATAATGTGAATGGTCCCCTCCTGCAATCGAGCAGGTACAATCTATATGAACGTGTGCAGTGGTCCTGTTACTCTGTTCTCCCCTCCCCTCTCTCCTCCACTCTCCATCCTTTTAGTTTTCTCCCAGAGTCTAGAATCATTTTTCTTTTGTTTACACTGAATTCCATTCAATTTCTTCAGGCTCCGGGATCAGTGGATTCTATATAACTTCTCTCCACCACTGTGTGTCTTGGGACAATTAAGGGACTGTTGCTACAGCCAAGTAGAGCAAGAAGGAGGCAGCAGTAGAGCTTAACGGGAGAGACTGCGCTTAGGAATCAGATAGACCATCTCCGTCTCTTACGCAGGGTGGAATTGAGCAAGTTAGTTAACCTTTCTATCTGGAAAATGGGGACAATTCTAGTACCTGCCTCACACTCTGTTGAAAAGATTAAATGAAATAATGCTTAGAATAGTCACTGATGGAAGTGTTGGGAGCATACAGAAAGCCATGGTTATGCATAATAAACTATCTGGTATACAAACAAAAAACAAACACAAGAAAACTAAGGCTATATGCATCCCACTATTTCTCCTCACTTATCCTCCCTCTAACCCACCTATTAAACTAAAGCTAAACTGGTGAGATTGAACTGTTCTCTATTGACTTCAAAGCTGCTCCTAGGTTTTATTTCAACCTGGCTTCATCGCTATGAAATTAGGTGGGCGTGGGAGGTGTGAAGTTGTGAGGGGAAAGAGTCCTTTCTAGTGTGATTTTTTCTGGACTCCAATACCCTTGGGACCACCAGGCATCAGATCTCCAGAGTTTCATTTTTGTGGCTATCCAAGGAAAAAGAGTTCGTTGGGAGACCTTAGGCAACAGTTCGCATCTGGGGCCCTTCCTTCGAGGACGCACGGAAGGAAGCACCAAAGTGAGAGTTTGAAGACCCAGAGCAGGACACATGTTCAGAAGCTGGAAGTTGTGGAGTTGTGTAGTGGCTACAAACTGGGTCCTAGGGCAGTGTCTGGGCATCTAGGTGGTGAGTCAAGTTGCTAATGAGCATTGACATTGGACGTGTCTTCTCTTGGTCTGTCTCAAATGTTCAGGAGAGTAAGAAGAAACTCCAAAAATGATTGCCCCAACATTTGACCCCCCAACAAAGAAGCCGTAGGCTCACTGGGGAGCCTGGAGGCATTATTAACAGATTTATATTCTCCCGAGAAGCTACACTTAAGAGCTGAGAAATGTCACCAAGATTTTAAGTTTTCCCAGGTGCAATTAGAGATTTTAGGACACGGACCTCATGGTGGTTGCAGAAAAATTTTAAATACTCTGCAAGAGCCTTCCTTACAATATTTTTCAGACAATAGTTACAAAATTAATACATATTTCCCACTAAATATTTAAGAAGTACAGAAATTCACGATAACAGTTTCTAGTTGAACTTTTGTGCTCTTCTTTTTACTGATGTTGGGGGCTGGCTGGGGGTGGTGAAATAGACCCAGGTCATTTGGAACCCTAGCCCTGAGGCTACTGAGGCAGAACACGCCCTGGGGAGGAAGTTGGTCTGTGAGGCGGTCTTGTCAGAGGCAGGTGAGTTCTGGAGGGGTCGGGGCAGAAAGAGGCCTTGTTCTGCTCTGAGTCTGCTCTCGTATTCTCCACAAAATCTCTTTGCACAACTACAGGTCACAGTGACTATGTTAGTTTCCTGTGGCTGCCATATCAAAGTCCCATAAACTGTGTTGTTCAAAGAGCAGAAAGGTAGCGTTTCACAGCTCTGGAGGCTAAACGTCTGAAATCTAGGTGTCAGCAGGGCCATGCTCCCTTTGAAATCTGTGGGGAAGACTCCATCCTTGCCTCTTCCTAGTTTCTGGTGGTTGCCAGCAATTGTTGGTGTTCTTGGCTTGTAGATGTCTCACTCCACTCTATCCCTACTTCTTTGCATGGACTTTTCTCTGTGTGTGTCTCTGTCTCCATATTTCCCTGTTTTTGTAAGACATCATCGAGGGTGTCCTACAAGGGTGAGCCTAATCCAGTATGACCTCACCTTACTTTGATTAGATCTGCAAAGACTCTATTTCTAAATAGGGTCATGTTCATGGGGACTGGGGGTTGGGACTTCAACATGTCTTTTGGGAGACACAATTCCATCCATAATAGGGACATTGGTATTCTGAGTCCACACAGGGAGTCCAAACAAAGAGGGCAAACTTCTCTCCAAAATGCAGCGCGAGCAGCAATTGCCCTCACAGCCACTCTTAAACTCATGGCCTTGTGACTTAAAGTCCACCCTCAACTCTCATCCCAGGCTAACAACGACCTAATTATTTCGGTTTCACCTCTTCTTCTTCAATATTTTGGATCTCTTCTGTCTCCCTTCCACATAAACGGACAGTCAGTAGCTATTTAATTCTCCCTAGATTGTCTTTTAATTTCAACACAGTAGTCTCTCTTCAGAATCTTTATTAATTTGGCTCTTCCCATGGTTCACAGAAAGCTATCAATAAAGCAATAAATTAAAATCGTTACTTAAGCCCTAACATTTTCCTTTAAAATGTCCTGAGCAGAAACCAGTCCTTGGTGGGTGGTATAATTTTTGCAGTATTGAGAAGATACAGTTCGGTCCATGATTGCTTCCTCCACGTTCTCCCATTTCCTTGATATCTGAAATTCATTTAAGAGGTAATAAATCTTATTTTGCAATTAGAGAAAAGACATCGCCCCCTGGGAAGGGTGGCACATTGATTTGAGTTTATTCTGAGTGTCAACGATGGATATGAGATGCTCTCCTGAGAATGGGGTTAATGGGGTAAGGCACGAATACTGCAGCACTGGACTCGGAAACGAGAGAAAAAGGTCATGGAAAGCATAGAACCATAACATGAAATATAAAATTTCCCTATTGAAGAATTTGCCCTGCTCCATTATTATTTACTCACTTACTTTAAATTCTCCACATTGTGAAAGGAATTCAAGTTTGCTTATAAAGTTGCACACAATTTAGCAAGATCGACTGACTGAAAATTAGTAAGAACAATGAGGCAAATGGAAAAAGGGGGGAGGACAGTAAGGCAGAGCAAGGAGCGATGTTGGTACACAATGCACACGCCATGCCCCCTGCTTCTACTCACTTGATAGAGCTGGGCTCCAAACCTGGCTCACTGTTCTGACAGCCACTGTGAAAAAGAAACATATGCCCACTAATAAGATTTGCAGAACTAGAATCTCAGAGGGTGGGCCCAAATATCTTAAAATAGCTCTTCATGTTATTCTGATGTGTGTTCCTCATTCAGACCTAAGTTCTAGAGGCTTAAACTTTCTCTCACTCTCTCCTATCCTCTCTCATCAGTGTCTTGCCTGCCAGTCATTTCCCCATTGGTGTTGAAGCAATATCATGATATATATTCTAGATAAAGTACAGGAAATGCATTTTGCAGTAGAATAAAATGTTATAGGAAATTGCTTTCTTTGATAGCCATCAGGTGACTGAAGTAATATAAATGAAAAAAAAGTTTTGAGAATGCAGGAGAGAATAATATTATTTCCCCCTATTTCTAAGAGTTAAATAAACTTAAAAAGTTTCAAATATATATAATTGAGAGGTCCCTGAATTTTAATAGTCAAGTAATGAAGTAATTCTGTAATATTGCCAAGTTCTCAGCTCTTAGGGAAAAAGAGTTTGACTTGTTAACTATTTAGGACAAAGCTTGGTGAAGTCATTTCAATTTTTGTTGATTGAGGAATGCTAATTTGGTGACTTGTATTTCATAATTCCTTAGTGAACCTTGCTGTTTCCTTCCCTAGACTATATGCACTTGCTGGTGCGTTCTTAATGTAACATTTTTAAAGAAAATGAGATAAGAGCATATATATTCTTTCTCCCTGTGTGTGTGCCTGCGCATAGCGTTTCTGAGTGTGTCTGAACGTGAGGTATGCATTGATTTTTATACATTGATTCATATTAATAGGAAAATGTTTGAATTTATAGTAAATGCTTTGGCTACTGTCTCTGATGTTACTGTAGCTCAAAATCACAAAAGGTCATGTCAGACATTTATGTAAAATTTACTAGCACTGTTTAGAAAGGCACCTTGCTTATTATTGCTTTGTTCATGAGCTTTATAGGAAATCCTGTCCTTCCATCATTTCCTTCCATATTTCAACTGTTTCTCATTATAAATAAAAACATTTATTGCTAACGGCCCCTGAGCCACATGGGGAGGGGCATGGACTTCCGTTAAGTCTCGTCTGCTCTTTGGAGCGGTAAGCTTACTCAATCTTGAGTATGGTAAGTGTGGGCTGAATTTCACATTCATTGTATTGCCACGTCCAGACTGTAAGGCATCATCAATGGACACTCTTCCAAAGAAAAGGCTTTATACACTGAGTCAAAAAAGTATTCAGCCACCCATTGTCCGTCTGCCTCCTTCCTAGTTACCAAATCTAATTCTATCTCTGATATAATGAAGCCCATTTTTACAGAAATTTTTTTAGTTCTTTGGTCTTGGCCACAGAAGCGAGATGACGAAGGGAACGTCATTGTTTGGAAAGAGTCACAACAAGACGCACACGTTGTGCCGCCGCTGTGGCTCTAAGGCCTACCACCTTCAGAAGTCGACCTGTGGCAAATGTGGCTACCCTGCCAAGAGGAAGAGACAGTATCACTGGAGTGCCAAGGCTAAAAGGCGAAATACCACCGGGACCGGTCGAATGAGGCACCTAAAAATTGTGTACCGCAGATTCAGGCATGGATTCCGTGAAGGAACAACGCCTGAACCCAAGAGGGCAGCTGTTGCAGCATCCAGTTCGTCTTAAGGATTTCGATGATTAGTCATGCAATAAATGTTCTGGTTTTAAAAAGAAAAAAAAAAAAAAAAGAAATTTTTTTACATAGACCTTTAATAAAGGCCTCACTTATAACATTTAAGAAAATCTTCCCACCTGTCGTCAGAATTATCTTTTTTTTTTTTTTGTGAGGAAGATCAGCCCTGAGCTAACATCCGTGCCAATCCTCCTCTTTTTGCTGAAGAAGACTGGCCCTGAGCTAACATCCGTGACGATCTTCTTCCACTTTATGTGGGACGCTGCCACCGCATGGCCTGACAAGCAGTGCATTGGTGCACCTGGGATCCAAACCTGGGCCGCCAGCAGCAGAGCACGTGCACTTGACCGCTATGCCCCGGGTCGCCCCCGAATTATCTTTATCCCCACTCCACATCAGCACCCTGTAAATGTTGCCGTACTTTACACTTGGCCATCTCATGGACCTGCTCCACATGTAAGACCCTGAACTCTAATTCCTCTCTAGGACCACCACTTACAAAACTCAAGTGCCATGAGACAGGACTGGATGGGCTATGCTGTGGAATCAAATTAACTCTGAAATCTGGGGACTTTGATGTGACAAAAGTTTATTTCTCACTCATGGCATACTTGGATGCTGGTCCCACAACTCTCTTTCAAGTGATGAGTCAGGGACATATATATTCTATACAGATGAAAGATTTCAAGGTGTTTCACATCCATCCTTCTATAAACAATTCTGCATTTTCTGGGAGGGGAAAGGACCAATAGGAGAGGAAGAAGACAAGGGAAGCCGGATGTTTCTGGGTAATTGTTTGAAACCACAGGTGGCAATCCTTCAAGAGGTTGGGAATGGTTTATTCCAGAGAAGTTCTATTCTGTGAAGCACCTTCGAAATAAACAAACAAATCCGAGGAATAAACTTACATTTATTTTATTTACCTCAGGCTTAGAGCTGTGTTAATAATATTCAAACACAAATTGGAACATGGATTGCATCTTGTTGGATAATAAACTAATAATAATAAATCATTTTAAAGTCCCAAAGCACCTTCCAGCTTCAATTTTTACCCTCACAACAACCCTGTGAAGTAAGTAGCAGGCATTTTTTAATCTTTGTTTTACAGATGAGGAAACTGAGGCTCGGAGAGGTAAAGTGAGTTACTTAACGTTAACAGTTTCTAAGTGAAAATATTAGGATTAGAGTAACGTCTTTGTTTTGACAATTCCATCTTTTCCCACTGCATTCATTTCACTTGACATAGATTCACTACTGAGGCAGAGAGAGACCTTGGGAAATGGCGTATATTCTTTTGTTATCACATAAAGGAAACCAGAGGGATATCAAGGCATATACCCTGCAATTGTTCCATCAGAATTAGGCCCTCCAGGTATGGGATGGAAGTGAGAAGGTGATTCATCCTGTCTTTGCCATTCATGTTCAGGTAGCTATGGATCCCAAATCCTCATTGTCCCATTATACTTGCCAAATCATGTCATTTTCTTTCATCTCTTTCATCTAATAGAGAAAGAGACGATTTTTTGTGATATTGAAACGTCCTTCCATGAACATGGTCTGCCTTTCTATTTTCAGTCTTTCTTTTAATCTCTTGCAGTGTTTTAAGATTTTCTTCATATAGGTCTTGCACATTTCGTCTTGAATTCCTACGTATTTTATTTTTGTTTGTTATTTTAACGGAACCATTTATTCCATTATAGCTTCTAAGTGGTTGTTGTTTGTATATATAAAGACTATTGATTTCTGCATATTAATTTTTATATCTAGTCAACCTATTGCCTTCTCTTACTTTAAATAGCCTTAGAGTTGATTCACCCAGGTTTTATGGGTCAAGAATCATATAATTGTCAAATAATGATAATTTTATATCTGCCTTTCAATTTTTTATAACTATTATGTTTTCCTCTTGTCTAATTGTACTGTCTGGTACCTCCAGGATTGTGTTAAATAATAATGGCAGTAAAGGACACCCTTGTCATTTTCCTGTTTTTAATGGAAATGCTTTTAGTGTTTTCCTATTTAGGTTAATCTTGGCTTTGGGGTTGAGCTAGACATAGTGTCATGTTGAGGAAGCATCCATCTAGTCACATTTATTTTCTACCTTATTTTAGTTATGTTTTTCGATCAGATGACACATGTCAGTACATGAACTCATCAGGTCACGATGTGCTGTAAGTGTAAAATACACATCGGACTTTGAAGACTTAGTGTGAAAAAAAGAATGTAAAACATCTCAATAATTTTTATATTGATTTCCTGTTAAAATACTAATATATTGGATGTCTGGATTAAATAAAATATATTATTAAAATTAATTCTACCTTTTTCTTTCTACTTTTTCCAACACAGCTACTAGAACATTGTAAATTACATATGGCAGCTTCCATTGTGGCTTACATTACATTTCATGTATGTTTCCAATATGATATATATTTGCCAGTGCTGGTCTAGAGTATCTGCCAACTATTCTCTGTACACTCAGGAAGAAAAGGCCACCATGAGCAGACCTTTTTGTCCTTCCGTCTTGGATTGGTCCCCTTAGTGGTGCCCCGGTAACGCTGTAGTTGCACTGTGTAACTAGATACCTTCTCAGAGCTTGGTAAACTGGTCTCTCCTCTTGGTGTGTAGAGCTCTGGGGAGGGATTGGGCTTATTTCATAAAGAGCTCAGACACCCCTGACCCCCTAGCCTGCTCCCTAAAATTTAAAATTAAGAGGAAATGTGTAGATGAATCAGTGTGAGGGAAGGGCAAGACGGTGCCTGAAATAAAATTATTTTGAGGAAAGTGATCATCTGCGTTGGTGATCCATTCTCAACCCAGAACCTAGGGGTTCAGGGAGAGAGCTGGTGTTTATTACAGAGAGTGGATAACAGAGTCCTCTAGATTCCCTTATTTTGGCACGGTGATTCCGTTTTGTTTATTTCTTTAGTTACTATTATTTTTATTGAGGTAACATTGGTTTATAACATTATATAAATTTCAGGTGTACATCATTATATTTCGATTTCTGTGTAGATTACATCATGTTCACCACCCAAAGACTAATTACCATCCATCACCACACACAGGTGCCTAATCAACCCATTTGCCCTCCTCCCTCCTCTCTTCCCCTTTGGTAACTACCAATCCAATCTCTGTCTCTATGTGTTTGTTGTTGTTGTTGTTTTTATCTTCTGTTTATGAGTGAGATCATACAGTATTTGATTTTCTCCCTCTGACTTATTTTGCTTAGCATAATACCCTCAAGATCCATCCATGTTGTCACAAATGGCTGGATTTCATCATTTCTTATGGCTGAGTGGTATTCCATTGTGTATATATACCACATCTTCTTTATCCATTTGTCCATTGATGGGCACCTAAGTCGCATCCAAGTCTTAGCTATTGTGAATAATGCTGCAATGAACATAG